TGACAAATCATTCATTCACATGTCCATCTAAACCTTACAATTCCTCCACAAGATACCAATAAGATATGGCTCCATCTTGACAAATCATTCATTCACATGTCCATCTCAACCTGACAATTCCTCCACAAGATACCAATAAGATATGGCTCCATCTTGACAAATCATTCATTCACATGTCCATCTCAATTTGACAGTTCCTCTGCAAGATGCCAATAAGATAGGGTTCCATCTTTACAAATCATTCATTCACATGTCCATCTCAACCTGACAATTCCTCTGCAAGATGCCAATAAGATATGGTTCCATCTTGACAAACCATTCATTCTCATGTTTATCTCAACCTGACAGTTCCTCCACAAGATGCCAATAAGATATGGTTCCATATTGACAAACCATTCATTCACATGTCCATCTCAATCTGACAGTTCCTCCGCAAGATACCAATAAGATATGGCTCCATCTTGACAAATCATTCATTCACATGTCCATCTCAATCTCCCCCACAAGATACAAGGAATTTGTGCTATTTCATTTGCAGCATCTCTCATGGAGTTCCATGCTTACGGATTGCTCAAATTGATCATTGAAATCGTGTTCGTACATGATTGACAAATATTGACAACAATGAGTCGATGTATTGCGCTAAAGCCTCGTATTCAGGGCCATTACCTAGAATACAATCGACAGTGGGCCACAAGGGCTAGACATTCATTTTTTTACCTTTATTGTATGTCACAAACATCCCTAACATGTATGTTCGCTCTATGTTCAGAAGAAAAGTTGTTGAAAATCTTAAGTAACTCTTCATCCAGATGAGTATCAACAAACAGGGTTTTAAGCTTCACATCAAGTATCACACCTATTGTACTTAGATTACTCTAAAAATGCCACAATTTTCACTAAAATACTTATAAAGGAATTGGAAAATAAGTGACGGGTAAACGGGTGTGTCTGGATAATACCAAACGCAAATACAGACGTAGCTTTACAAAGCAATTACATGAATTTAAAACACCACTGGTAACTTAATAATCATCTCCAATTCTACAGTCACAGATGTTCTAACAAGACTTGTGAGCGTTTATATCAATCGTTGATTAAAATTTACCCATTGATCATAGAAATTAAATTGCATCCTTAATTCCATTAAAAACATACACATCGTCCACTAACTCATAACTTTATAGTGTTAAATAGACGTGACTTTTGCTTCTGTAGATGTGAAATCAATAAATCTGTTCAGAGTCCTATATCTTACTTAAATAAAATGTGTGGGGTCTTTTTTAATTCATCTTACAAAACGGCCTCAAAAACACCATAAAACATATATACACTTCACCATTATAAAGGGCCTAACTGCATTTATTTGGTTTGCTGGCCCAAGCTGTGCTGATGAACCTTGGATAAATGAAACTACAGTCCACAGCAGAGGGTACGGCCAATCAGGGAATATATTAGGCTTCTGTGTCACAGATTGTCTTTTCGGTTTTACCTTTGGTGAAAAAGAAGATAAATCTGTAACACACGCATAAAAACTTTAGTTTGCCAGACAAAATGTTTTAATAAAAACCTTCAATTACATCATAATCGTAATAAACATTTATTCAAACTCACATTTATTTGATGAAGAAGTATCTTTTTTTTTGTTATTTAATTAGCTATAAACTTCATATTCAATTATTCCAACCTTTCATACCTAATCTCACATAAACGAGCCCTAGGCAGAGTTTTAATTCGTTTCTTTTTGTTTTAGATAAACACTCGTGATTCAAATTACAAATCATGATGCATTATAAAAGCCAAAAACCGAAAACTTCATACTCAAACTTATTAAACTGTGAACATTAAGTTTATCCTACTCTCTGACATTCAGACGTGGTTTAATTTGGGGGCATTACAATGTAACGGTCAATCTCACTTTTCTTGGATAAAAAAGAGTAACCTAAGAGTTGGCGGTGAGTAGCGCTGACGAGCTGCCATCCCTCTAGTCTCACACTGCTAAATTAGGGACGGCTAGCGCAGATAGCCCTCGTGTAGCTTTGCGCGAAATACAAACAAACCAATCCATTTCTTTAACTCAGAATTATCAATTTGTTCATGTTCGAAAGAAGAGTTTCTCTATAATAACCTTGGTTTAGTACCAATACGACTATAGCTGGGTGAGGAGCAAAAAGTATCACAGAGGCCACAAATCCGGATTTATATCCTCTCGGTTTTTTGCTCCTTAGGAAACAACAGTGAGCGAATATTACAGGTTCCGTAATAATGTTTTGATTATATATTTCATTCAAGCCTAATAACAACTGTTAAATGAATATGTAGTAAGTTCTTAAACGTTCAGTGACAAAGAGTCTGATCAAACAAATAAATCAGCGTTTCCCATAGTGGGATCCGCGGCCCTTCTGGGGGCCGAAAAGAAAGATGCTGATTTAATTTTAATTCTAAATAAACAATAAGCCGATAAAAAATATGTTGAATTAGTTAAATTACAGGATTGTTTCATATCTTAATACGAAAATAAGATAACCATACATAAAATTAAGTGTGTATTTAATTGCTCAGCAGTCTACACATTTAACCCCCAAACATAATAAATTACTAACGGTCTAATTATGATACATATAAATTGATAAGAGAAGGCCACATTAAATTACAAACATACAATTTTATAGAAAAAATACTTCATAGATATCATTAAATTTCATAGTAATTATTTTTTGAAATTGATAAATCACATTATATGGCATTTTTACAGGTTGAAAGGCCTCAAACCTTTTTATTCACATCAAGGGAGCCTTAGACTAAAAGAGTTTGGGAACCACTGAGATGAACCATAAATGTCTTGTCCAAACTTACAAAGAACGACTAAAGTCTGAACAAAAAAAAAAAAGGCGGGAACGAACGGTTATTTGTTGTTGTTGTTGTTTTGATTTCACTATAACTAAAGGATGGATTTAATAGTTCATTACCAGGGACAGCCCGAAAGTTGTAGAGCAGTTTGCAACTTGGACGAACGTAAAAACTCGCGGTGGTCACGAACAGGGAAAAAAATTCAATCGACACCCAGAATGTTCTGGAAATTCATCGTCTGGGAATTCCTAAACTTTCGTAGTAACATAAAGTTTTGTTCCACAAAGCATAGATAGTGTCGACGTCTGCGTTTGGGTACCCGAACAAATATGGCCGACTTAACTCAGGGTTTTGGAGCCAATAGAGAACTTCTTCCTTTGATACTGACAGCTTGTCTGTAAAGTCCACGTGGCTCACTCCGACCCTTTGAGCAAGTGTTCCGGATACATGGACATCATCTACCCAAAAGTAGGCTGCTTGGGTCGACTGGAGGTAAAGGTTGAAAACGACATCAGGAGACATGATAATGACCCAGCCTGCGCAGTAAGGGGGGTAATACTTGGCAGGGTACTCTTTGAAGCTAACTTTCCATTTGCTACGTTGGCTACGCTTTACGTAAAGATTCCTGATAAGAAAGCACATGATAAGGCCACGTGGGGGCATCCTGCCTAAGGAGGACACTCTCAAATACGTCACTAACTGAAAAATATCGACAAATATGTCGTCGTCAGTTTTGAAAATATATTTAGCTTGGCGACAGAAATATGTCACCCACTTGAGTCCCATGACGTGTTTGTATGTGAGGTTTTTGTAAGAATCAATGAAATTGCCCTGTACAATGTCACGATTAATGAAGTCTTCTTTTTCCAAAGCCTTCTGAATTTCATCTTTATTCTGAACTGTTCCAACCATAAACACTAAACGTATCGGGTCATACACCAGATGGCGCTCTTGACCCCAAGTTTTTCGTATCGCCCTCCTTTTTTGAAAATGGTCTGGAGCACTGTGAATATATATGACCATAAATATGTCCTTCTCTTTATCGCAACGTCGGTGGTTTAGTAGAAAGCGAAAGTCTGTCTTATCCACAAGCGTTGTGAAATCTGTTTCTTGATTAAGTAAACTCATATTGTAGGCAACTGATGGTCCCCACGAGATCGGGCGAGGTTTTCTCACATTAGGACTACTACCATACCACATAAAATTGACCACTGTACTGGGCACTAGGAAAACCAAAAAGAGGAATCCAATTTTAGCCCGCAAGTCACAATGTGGCTTGAATCTCATGCTGCTCGGACTCAGCTGTGAAGGATGTGGAAATATCTCGGTCAGTGAACGAGTCATCAGTACTTGTTAACAACAGAAAGTATAGCAGATATTCACATTTGTATCGAGTGTCAGTTGGGGGAGGATACAGATTTCACTGTTAAATGGATCGCAATGCTTATGCACTTCTTAATGTATTCTCTATACTTCACGAAATCTTGATTGATCTGTGACCTCTGAGCAATCAAATAAATCTTGATTGACCTATGGCTTCTGAACAACCAAATAAATCTTGAATGATCTGTGGCTTCTGGAAGACCCATGTTTCACAACTCTATTACTATTCCTCCTGTGTCCTTTAAGGGGGAGAAAGAATTGATCATGATACAAAATATAAAACATCTCATCCAACTGCGGCATCCACTTTATAAAGAAATCAGCCAATCAGCTTACACGACTGTCGTTGTCATGCGTAGTAACGATCACATGAGTACAGTTATTGATTAGTTACTTATTATACCGCATCGGTATTTTTAACAAGAAGATCCGGGATCGAATCTTAGCTATTATCACTACATGAGCAATTCTTCTCAAGACTTCCCTGAAGACGACAACACATTAGCAGCTGAAAGTAAGGATAAAAGTTAGTTAGTAACTAGTATATATAAAAATATTGTAACTACTTAACAACTAGGCTTAGGTGATCATTATAAAAATTAGTTAGTAATTAGTATATACTGGTAAAAAAATGTAGTAACTAATTAATAATTAGACTTAGGTGATCGTTATAGCAAATTATGAAAATACTTATATTTAAAGTTGCATATACATACTTTACGGAAATATAAGTATTGTTGTAACGTGTTTTTCTTTTTCTATTCACATCAGACAGTTTTTTCGTACTACTAGTCCTAATGATACTACAATGGCGAAAAGTTGGCTGAAATAAAAAGTTTTATTATTATTATTATTATCTGGATATTAGAGATTGTTTTAACTTTATTGTGTTCTATAATTGAACGAGTTATTTTGGATTATTTAGTAAAAATAATGCCAAAACTAGTCCTCCTAAGAAAAACGAATTAATTTATTTCTTCAATAAAGTTTCCTACAAGCTATAATCGCTTGTAGATCTTTCCATTTTATTTGATCGTACATAGGTTAGTAACAATGACAACGATT